GACTCCATATTGTGACAACTGGTTTTTTCAGTTGCTAGATAATGCACTAGTATTGAGAATCTAAAGATAAATGAAGAGACCAGCTACCTCTGCTGTACTCTGAAAGGGGTTATTATAGGAGGTCCTGAAAGATAGAGAACAAAAAGTCAATCCTAAAGATTAGGGTCACTGGTCAGATGGAGATTGGTAAGACTCTTGAGAATACAGCCTTAGCCACTCCTTAAGACCTGAACTCAGCCCTCTGATTCACAGATACATGCTGTTTGTAAGGTGAGCAGTCACAAGAGGAAGATAGGCACTCCTTAGGTGGATCAAACCCCAGATGAAAGGGGCAGCAGTTGCCCAAGGACAAAGTTCAGAATCCATGAAGGGGTAGGAGCATAGGGAGGAGCTGAAATAGACAAACAGGAAATATAAGAGGGAGGTGGGATGAATGATGTTACAAGGATTGCAATCATGGGGTGAAGGAAAATGTGCTCCATCTGTTGAGTGGTAACATTTGCTCTGGAACTTTCACCCAAATTGCAGTAGAAAAGAAAATTAAAATATGAACCTTGCCCTCAAATTGCAGCCCATGAAAGACAAATGTGTAAACAAGTAACTAATGAAATTTGAGCTGAGAACCTTGCTGGTATATAAATAGAATCTAAAAGAATTAGGGAAGCCCTTACAGGGGGTAACATCTGAACTAGGAGGTTTTACCCCCCATCCCATCTTTTTTTTAAAAAGTATTATGTATCTGCAAAAAAAAGAAAAATAATATGTATCTGCATTATGCAGTTGACACAACCTTGCTTGCTGAAACTGAGGAGGACCTGAAGCACTTGCAGAAGGTTAAGGACTGCAGCCTTCACTATGAATTGAAGCTCAAAATCAAGAAAACAGAGATTCTCACCACTGGACTGATTGGCAGCATCATGATAGATGATGAAGAGAGTGAGATTGTTAACAGCTTCAGTTTGCTTGGCTCCACAATCAACACTCTTGGCACCAGCAGCTAGGAAATTAAAAGACAAATTGCCCTGGGAAAGTCGGCTGTCAGAGACCTCTCCAAAGTACTGAAGAGCAATGATGATGGCCTCTGGGTTCAGGCCATGGTCATTGCAATTACTTGCTATGCATCAGCTGGATAATGACTAGGGATGATAGAAGGAGAATTGATACCTTTGAGCTATGGTGCTGGAGAAGAATATTGAATATACCATGGATGGCTGGAGAACAAACAGCTTCCTCCTGGAGAGGGTGAGATCAGGCTGCTCCTTGGAGGTAAGGATTCTGAAGCTTTGTCTCACATAACTTTGGACTTGTTGCAAGGAGGGACCAGTCCTTGGAGAGGGACAGTGCAAGAGAGAAAGACTCTTGATGAAATGGTTTGATTCAGTGGCAGGGGTAATGGGGGTAGGAGTGTCAGAGACAGTAAGATTGTCACACTATAGAGTAGGGTATAGGACTGTTGTACATAGGGTCACTATGAGTCGCTCTACAGCACATAACAACAACATATGAATATAGGGAGCTCTGGTGGCCTAGTGGTAAGAAGCTGTGCTGCAATCCCAAAGGTACAGGTTCGAGGCCACCAGCTTCTCCAGGGGTGTCTCCTCTTGTGCAGTTAACCCGCCAGAAAATCAGCAGTGGGTCAGTTCTGACTCGATGATACACAACAACAACATAAGAATATGTATTGGGAGGGGTTGTTTAACAATGAAAGAATTTTACTTTTCAAAGAGAAGAGCAAATTGGAGGGAGGGGATGGGCAGGGAGAAAAGTGCAACAATGAATGAATGGAAACCCTAAGTCTCTGTAAATTGTCATTAAAATTTATAAAAAAAAAAGAATATTTGTGATAGATACTTATGCATACTGAATGTGAACATACATATGTCTGTGTTTAAAAACCCTCTTGGAAGGAGACATGTGAAGCAAAGTGTGTAGGATGCCTTTGCATTTCTATTTCAAGGTGATCCTGTAAACAGCAGACCACAACTTTGCCCTTGGGCTCTGTCCTCACTCTCCTCCAAGCTTAAAGCTTACACTTGCATACGCCCACATTGCAGTTACTACCTCTGCTCTTGTTGAAGGGCTTCCTCTCTTGCTAACTCTCTACTTCTCCAAGCATGATGTCTTCTTCTGTGGACAGGTGCCTCCTGAAAAACATGCCCAAAGTACATGAGATGATGTTTCACTATTCTTAACGTCTAAGGAGAAAGCTGGTTATCTCCTTTCAAGATAGATATATTTCTTTTGTCAGTCTGAATATATTCAACACTTAGCCAAAACCACAGTTAAGAGGCATCAGTTCACGCCTCCATAAGCAATTGAAAATACCACAGCTGGGGTCAGATTGACTTTAGCCTTTAAACTGTTTAAACCCTTGCTCTTTAGCACTTTGCACAGATTTTTGATAGCAGATTTGCCAGATAAAACATGTCTTTTGATTGTTTGCTTGCTACTTCCATGCATATTGATTGTGGAGCCATGTAAAATGAAATCATTGGCAGCTTCAGTCTTTTCTCCATCTATCATGGTGTTGCCTGTTGGTCCAGTAGTAGTCTTTCGTCTTTTGCAGTGACTGTTTCAAAGCCTCATCACTTGATGCATCATCTGCATCACGTAGGTTGTTGAGTCTTCCTCCACTTCTAATGCCACATTCTTCTTATAGTCCAGCTCCTCAAATTACTTGCTTAGCATACAGATTGAATAGGCATGGAGAAAGGATACTGTCCAAACATGCATTGTCCACTTGTTCTGTTTGATCAGCTATTTACTCATCTGCGTATAGGTTTCCTATGAGCACAGTTAAGCCTTCTGGGATTCCCATTCTTCTCAGTGTTATCCGTAATTTGTTATGATTCACACAGTCATATGTCTTTGCAGAACAAGTAAACATCTTTCCGGTATTCTCTTCTTTCAGCCAAGATCCATCAGACATTAGCAGTGATATTCCTTGTTCCATAGCTGCTTCTGACTCCAGCTTGAGTTACTGGCAGTTCCCTGTCCAACATACTACTCCAGCCATTTTAAAAAATCGTCTTCAGCAGGATTTCTTGTGTGTGTGATAGTAATGATACTTGATAATCTCTGCATTCGGCTGGCCAAGTAGCTCCTCCCCAGTCACCACCTGGGGGACTCATCTTTGGACAATAGTCTGAAAGCTTTGCTAAAGCCTGTCCATCGTGGTTAACCCTGCTGGTATTTGAAATACATACCTTCTACATACCTTGAAATACATACATCCCAGTGACACACAGGCCACTGTAGGAAGGCAACCTGACAGAGGAGTTGATGGTCTTTTGTCATTGATATATGTTGTTATGAGCCATCCGAGTCAGAACCAACTCAGCTGACCTTTCAGAGGCTGTAAATCGCACAGGAGGAAGTTGCCTGTCTTTTTTCCATGGTGCAGCTGATGGATTAGAACCACTTGCCTTTAGGCTGGCAGCATAGCTCCTTACCCACTAGGCCACCAAAGCTAGAGAGTTCCTGTGCAGGATGTCATCTCCTTGGAAGTCTTAACCTTCTTCCTTCAGATACGGAAGAATAAGCGTGTTTAGTTGAAGGTTTAAAGGGCCTAAAGTAGTTAGAATTGACATTGGAAGCAAGCATAGTCCTTCCTGTCAGCACATTCATGTCTTCTCCATTGACCCATCCAGTCTCAGGCTGCCTGACGGCATCATAGCTTGAAGGGTTGTTGCACAGATTGGAGCATGTGAACTCAGCAGAGAGAGAAAAGGTCTTTTTTTT